GGGGGGGGGGGTGTAGATCTCCAGTAGATTGGTTTGAGCCAGGTGAGGCTAGGCTTTTGGGTACATACTTGGTTCAGGATGCATTGGACAAGGTGAAAGTGATTCAAGAGCGGCTTCGCACAGCTCATTCAAGACAAAAGAGTTATGCTAGTAGAAAGGTTCGTGATGTGTCTTATATGGTTGGGGAGAAGGTTTTGCTGAAGGTTTCACCCATGAAGGGTGTTATGAGGTTTAGAAAGAAGGGCAAGTTGAGCCCTCAGTTTATTGGCCCATTTGAGGTGCTTCAGAGGGTTGGGTAGGTGGCCTATGAGCTTGCTTTTCCACCTAGCTTGTCAGGTGTACATCAAGTATTTCATGTTTCTATGCTTCAGAAGTATATCGACGATCCATCTCATGTTATGGATTTCAGCATGGTTCAGTTGGACGGTGATTTGACTTATGATGTGGAGCCAGTGGCTATCTTGGACCAGCAGGTCCGAAAGTTGAGATCAAAGGTTATAGCTGTAGTGAAAATGCAGTGGAGAGGTTAGCCCGTGAATAAGGCTACTTGGGAGACCGAGCGGGAGATGCGGAGCAGATATTCGCACATATTTGAGGCTCCAGGTATATTTCTAGACTCGTTCGAGGATGAACGTTTGTTTAAGAGGGGGAGGATGTAATGACCTAGCCGGCCATATCTTGAGTGGTTTCGGAGCGGAATGAGACCTTAGTCTTTTTATGAGAAGCTTATGTTGGAAAAGTCAACTAGATATTGACTTATGAGTAAACGATCTCGGATTTGAATTATGATGGTTCCGTTAGCTACATTAGGTTATTGTGGACTTAGGAGCACGTCCGGAATGTGATTTGGAGGTTTGTGGTAGAATTAAGCTTGAATTGGGAAAGTTGGAAATTTGGCAATTTTGGTCGGCAGTGGAAAATTTGATATCGGGGTTAAAATGGAATTCCGGAAGTTGGAGTAGGTTCATGGTGTCATTTTTGATATCTGTGTAAAATTTGAGGTCATTCAAACGTGATTTGGTAGGTTTCGGCGTCGATTGCAGAAAGATATGTGCAGGTGCGCGCCCGCATGTGCGGAACCTGGGGCACAGGTGTGGCTTTGAGGACTTAAGTGGTTTACACAGGTGCGAGGTGATGACCGCATGTGCGTTTCCACAAGAGCGGATATATGGCCGCATGTGTGAAAGATCTGGGCAGAAAGTATAAATAGCACACTTTGCGAAATTTGGTCCATTTACACCATTTTCAAGCCAGGTTTTGGAGCTTTTGGAGTGATTTTGAAGGGAGATTCAAGGGGTTTTCAGTGAGATAAGTTTCTTGAGATCTAATACTCCTATCTATGGTGTTTCCCCATTGTTTTATCAATTAATTAGTGGTAATTAGAGGTGAAAATGAGGGGTTAGGGCTTAGGATTTTTGAGATTTTGATTTAGAGATTTGAGGGACCAAATGGAGTCGTATTTTGATAAATTTTGTATGTATGGACTTATTAGTGAATGAGCTTTCAAGTTTTGTAATTTTTGTTGGATTTCAAGTTGTGGGCTCGGGGGCCGGGTTTAAGCCGATTTCAGGTTCTTGGTCTAATTTGGTAGTTTTCCTTGTGGAATTCATTCGTTTAGCATATATTGATGGTATTGTACTAGCTGTGAATAGATTCAGAGCATTTGGAGGTCGAATCGAGTGGAAAAATCATCGAGGAGTAGAGATTTGACCGGTTTGAGGTAAGTAACGATTGTAAATCTAGTCCTAAGGGTATGAAACCCCAGATTTTGTGTCATGTGACTATTTTGAGGTGGCACACATGCTAGGTGACGGGCGTGTGGGCGTGCACCATTAGGGATTGTGACTTGGTCCATCCTATATCAATTGTAAAGCTAAATATTTTGTTGAACCTACATGGTTCCTACGCGTTTTAGCAAGAATTTCTGTAAATCAGGCTAAATGCCATGTTTAGGCCTTATGCCAGTGTTGTTTGGACCCTTAGAGATCTTTTCTTCTTATCCTCTCATTGTTTTCGATTAGAAATCTATACTCAGTCATGGTTATACTTATTTATTGCATAAATCACTTTATTACTCTATTTTAATGCATCATATAAATGTTGTTTGGGCTGAGTATTTTGTTTTCTTTCTGAGAGCCCGAGAGGCTGGAGAGGTTTATGACTGAGTGAGGCTGAGGGCCTGATTTGTGAGGATATTTATGGGATCAGGCTGCACGCCGCAACATGTCTTTATTGATTTCTGCCTGAGTGAGGCTGAGGGCCTGATTTGTGAGGATATTTATGGGATCAGGCTGCACGCCGCAACATGTCTTTATTGATTTCTGCCTGAGTGAGGCTGAGGGCCTGATTTGTGAGGATATTTATGGGATCAGGCTGCACGCCGCAACATGTCTTTATTGATTTCTGCCTGAGTGAGGCTGAGGGCCTGATTTGTGAGGATATTTATGGGATCAGGCTGCACGCCGCAACATGTCTTTATTGATTTCTGCCTGAGTGAGGCTGAGGGCCTGATTGTTATGCAATGAATTGCTTGTTATAGTGCTTAGGTTGAAACAGCCCCTCCGGAGTTTGTACACACCCCCAGTGAGTGCAGGTACCTACTGAGTGCGACTGTCGGGTGCCGAGTGTTGAGTAACTAGGAGGCATGAGTTATGGTAAGGTTTACCTGATGGGCTGTATATGAGTAATGGCGAGGTTTGCCCGAGAGGCTGTATACGAGTGATGTTTGCTCGAGGGGCTGTTTATGATTTTATCCTTTTGCTCACTTTTGCATCGAACCTTGTTCTAATAACTATTGAAAATTGTTTTTAAATGATTTAACTTGAACTGGATTTAAACAAGGTGGTTTGATTCAAACTATGGTTTTAAAAGTGTGCCGTATTTTACTAAAATTATTTGATATGAACTTTACTTGCATTATTGCTCGTCACTACTTCTCAGTCTTTATTTACTGTTGTTACTTACTGAGTTGGCATGCTCACGTTACTCCTCGTACCTTGTATGCAGATCCAAGTATTTTTTGGACACGATAGCGGGTGTTGATTATTCAGTTGCAGATCCCTCGGAGTTAGCAAGGTAGTTTCCCGACGATCACAACCTTGCTTTCCTCCCTCTTTATCTTTTCTTAGTTGTATTCAGTTATTTCCAGACTAGGTTATTTTTGATATTGTCAGACAGTTGTAGTAGATGCTCATGACTAGTGACACCCTGATGTCGAGCTTTCTTTTCCGCACTTTTGTTTTTATTTGAACTCCTTTATGAAGGTTTTATACTAAATAGCGTTGGAATTATCTTTGAAAAGAAAATATCGATATATTTTGGTAATGAATTGGCTTGCCTAGTACCACAGTAGGCGCCATCACGACAAGGTTATTTTTTGGGTCGTGACAAATATCTTCTTCAAAACCAACTTCCCTGATTTGAACTGCCGAGGTTTCACCTTTCTATTGAATGTGTTGTCCATCCTATTTTGATACCATTGACCATGATATACTATGCCCATTCTCTTTTCATTAATGAGCATGACTTGTTCTTTTCTGATACGTATCTATTCTGCATCATCTAGCTTGGCCTCCTGGATAACTCTCAAAGATGGTATCTCGACTTCTAGAGGTATCACTACTGCTTTTCCATATACCAATATGTTTGGCGTTGCCCCAGTAGATGTTCTCATGCTAGTGCAGCAACCCAATAAGGCAAAGGATAGCTTCTCGTGCCATTGCCTTTGATTGTTCACTCTCTTCCGCAAGATCCTCTTGATGTTTTTGGTGGATGCTTCAGCTGCTTTGTTCATTTGTGGCCTATAGGTTGTGGATTTGTGGTGGATGATTCTGAATTTCTCAAAAATCTCCATTATGAGATCACGATTGAGATTGATTGTGTTGTTAGTTATGATTGGCTCTTAAATTCTGAATCTGTAGACTATGTTGTTACGGGCAAAGTCTGCTATCACCTTCTTCTTGACTGCCTTGTATATAGAGAATTTGATCCATTTGGTGAAGTAGTTGATGGCTACTAAGATTAAACGATGCTCGTTCGATGCGGCAAGTTTTATAGGTACAATCACATCCATACCCGAGCGACAAACGGCCTAGGAGAACCCATTACGTTCAACTCATTCAGTGCAACCTGAATGAAATTCCCGTGAATCTAACACTAGTGACACTTCTACATGTAGCGGATGTTATCACTTTCCATAGTCATCCAAAAGTATCCAGCTCTTAAAATCTTCTTGGCTAAGGTGAAACCGTTCATGTGAGGCACGCATATTCCTACATGTGTTTCTTCCAATAACCTTTTTGCTTCGGCAGCATCCACACACCTTAATAGACACAAGTCCGGGGTCCCCTTATACAGGATTTTCCTATTAAGGAAAAAGTGATTTGCCTATCTCGTTAATGCTCGCTTTTGAGCATTAGTGGCACCCTTTGGATATTCTCTTGCTTCGCAAAACCTTTTGATGTCATGGTACCAAGTGTTACCATATGGCTCTTCATTTACATTTAATCAGAATGTGTGCTAACCTCGAACCTCTATCTCACTGGGGTCGATGTAATTTTTGTCCGGGTGCTGAATCATGGATGATAAGGTTGCAAGAGCATTGTCGAACTCATTCTGGATTTTGGGCACATATTTGAACTTGATCTTGGGGAACTTCTTACACAACTTCTTTACACAGACATTCTTGGTGGTCCATTTGCCCTGCACATGGTGTATCATGTCAACTGCCATCTTATTTGTGAAAGGGAACCTTATCTTAGCTGAAGCTATTATGTTGTCCTAACTCGGAAATTAGGACTACTCCAATTCCCACTCCCTTGAAATTGGCCGCCCTATTGAAAAACATTCTCCACCCTGGATACAACTCTGAAATGTCCTCCCTAGCGAACAACACTTCTTCATTTAGAAAATATGTGGTAAATGGCATGTAATCCTTATCCACCGGGTTTTCTACGAGATTATTAGCCAATGTTTGTCCTTTTGTAGCTTTCTACATCACGTACACGATCTCAAACTCACTGATAAGAATCTGTCATTTGACCAACTTTCCTGTAGGCATCGGCTTTTTGAAGATGTACTTAAGCGGGTCGAATCAGGAGATCATCAATAGATCCTTTTTCATTCGACTTATAGCTGTTAAGGCAATGAGACGACTTTGATAGATTAAAGTAGTGGCCAGGGGATTTGTGTAAGATTCTTATTTGTTTGCGAAGCTCAAAAATTTCTTATTGAAGTAAGTTGTTCTCCACTAGATATTCTTCAAGCTAAACATCATAGTCTTTCTTTTCATTTCTCAACTTGTTATATTCTTCAAATTGGATCTCCCAATCTTTCTTCTCATATATCAACTTGTTATATTCTTCAAATTGGATCTCCCAATCTTTCTTCTCATATATCAACTTGTTATATTCTTCAAGTTGGATCTCCCAAACTTTCTTCTCATGTATCAACTTGTTATATTCTATAAGTTGAATCTCCCAATTCTTCTTCTCTTTCCTCAACTTATTATATTGTAATGACCTGACTTGTCGTTTTAAGAGTTAGCGTCTTGTTCAACGGCTTAAGACCTTGAGAAGCTTCTTAATATGCATTATTACCCGCATGTATGGTCATGTTTGGTTTTCGTAAGATTTAAAGTTAAATTTAAAGAAAAACAAATTCTCATTTTGAAGCTCAAATGGAAAGAGTTGACCGAAGAATTTACTTTTGAGAAAACGACCTCAGAATGGATTTTTAATGATGCCAATAGCTTCGTATGGTGATTTCGGACTTAGACGTGTGTCCGGGTTTGAATTTAGAAGTTTGTAGGACACTTCGGCGCATTTTGGAGAAATAAGAAAGTTGACGTGTTCTAATTATATTATTTTATGTTCGGAAGGGGTCTATTAACATGGTGGATACCAATTGGATATGATATAAGTGTACAAGGCATATTATAAGATATATGGGGTCTAAGGAATGTCCTAAGACTAAGCCATGTTGGAAAATTTCATAATAGACTAAAATTTTAAGAGAATGCGCACAAGACCCTACTTTGGACGAGCATATATACATTTATATAAGGTTTTATGCGATGCACAACCTATAAAATTAAAGATCTCTGAGTCTAGTTTCCAACTCTTTAAACCATTCATCATTTGGACATTCCTACACAAAGTTATGACCAAATTACAAAAAGCTGGAAAAATGCAATTCTGAGGTCAAATGTGCGATCACAAAATAACTATGCGAACCGTAAAATCATTCTGCGATCGAATGGTCGCAGAATGAAGCAGAATAGCCCAGTTCTGGGCACTGAGTTTTGCGACACATCTGCGGTCCGCATACCCATTATGCGATGGATTATGCGATCGCATACTTGATTTCAAGGGTTAATTTTCCTATTTTCATAACCCGACCCCATTTTGATAAATAGACTTTGGGGTTTATTTTGGATCATTTTTGAGCAAAAATCCAATGCTTTAGAGTGAGAGAGGGAGCCCTAGAGTGAGAAAATAATCTTCATCAAATCATTCTTCAATTCTTACTCAAATCTTTGAAGATTAACAAGTAATTATCACAAGATCTTCATCAAAGAGGTAAGATTCTATACCCTAGTTTTCCATTTCGTTTTTGGATGATTTTTGAGCAAGAATTCACGGGAAACTTGAGTTAAGTCACTTGTGGTTATTGTTAGTCAATCATATGTGATTATCATCGAATATTCCGACTAGATTACTCATTTTTTGGGTTGAAAATGGTAGAAATCTTCCAAGACTTTAATTGAAAATTTGAGGGTCGAGTTGATGTCGGAATTTAGCAAAATTGGTATAGTTGGACTCGTGGTTGGATGGGGATTTATATTCCGTGATTTTTGTCGAGTTCCGAGATGCGGACCCGATAGGGATTTTTGGACATTTTTCTATTTTCTTGTGTTAGATTCGATTTCATTAGCTAAATTAGTTGTTCGTAGTTATATTTACGTTATGTAATTGATTTGACTAGATTTGGGCCACCTGAAGTTGGATACTCGTGGCAAGAGCATGACTTCGGATTTGATTTGAGCTTGGTTCGAGGTAAGTATCTTGCCTAACCTTGTGTGGGGGACTTCCCCTTAGGATTTGAGTCTTTTGTATTGATTGTAGTTCGTGTACGCGAGGTGACGAGTGCGTGCTCGGACTTAATTGTGGAGAATTAGAATTTTTGGGTTCTTAGGTTCTTATATTCACTAGGGATGGATTTATTCTTGATATGACTGAGTTCCTACTTATTCGTTTCGTCTCTACATGCTTAATTGAAATTAATTGTTTCACGATTCACTCTTATTACCTAATTGACTTCTATTTGACTTAAATGAAGGGTTTTGCCTCTCCTATTGTCATGTTATATTTTCATAACTACTTGACTCGTGTTGATTTCCTTATTATTGACTTGTATATTATGGGATCATTTCTACATGTTAGTTTTCCCGTTGTTGAACTATTTTCTTTATGTAGTATTTATTTTTGTGGTTATTCCTTTGAGCTGGTTCTACCATTTTCTCGTGATTTACAGCCCCTGAGTTGATTTACTTGTCTTACCTTGTATTATTGTCATTTGTTGTTGTTATATGTATTGCGGTGATGTTCGATCCTTCTATCGTGATGTAACTGTTGATTCTGTTGGTTGCGTTGTGTATTTATTTGGGACTACGGATGTGAGATTCCAGTAGATCCCCCTTGTCTGTTTAATTGGGACTACGGATGTGAGATTCCGGTAGATCCCCCTTGTCTATTTATTTGGGACTACAGATGTGGGATTCCGGTAGATCCCCCCGCACAGTTATATGGAACTACGGGGAATGCACTTGGTAGATTCCTCCAGTACTAGGTATTTACATTTGGGTCTACGGATCGGGATTCCGGTAGATCCCCGCATATTATGAGTTGGACTACGAGACTGTACCCGGGAGATCCACTAGATATTTATATTTGGGGACTACGGGACGGTAACCTGGGAGATCCCTGGTTGTTATCTCTGTGCTGAGCTGTACTCCTTCCGTGATTATTTTTTCTCCGTTGTAATTATTGTTATCAATTTAAGTGTTTTATCGGTTTTGATTTCTTTACGGCTGTGATCATTTGTGTTGTAATCCATAGTGTTTACAATACCTCACCCTATTTTTATATATATTTCAATACTTCAAATTTCAACAATTGTTACGTTTTTAACCCAATTAATTTCTCAATTAAATTTTCTTTAAACTGTTTGAGGTTGTATTTTACTTTAAAAAAAAGAATTTCTACTAAGTTAATTTATTAAATCCCTTGTTAAAGGTGATAATCATCCGATGATGTATTTTAATTCAAAATGGTACCTTCTTTATTCAAATAATTTCTGAAAATAACTTCGTCTTTTATTGTTGAGTTCCTAGTTGGTTTATAAACTATAATCTACTTTATGTTATGTAATGAGACTCTTTGAACATCTTAATTGCATTGGTTATGGACCCTATGTACTGAGTAGCATGAGAACGTCATTGCGCAAAGTGAGATAGAATTATGTGGGCACGAGGTGCCGGGTGTGGTAAAGGTTTGGTAGTTGAGGTTATGATATGAGATATCGAGTTTGAGATGGCTGGAATTGTGCATAAAAAATGATATGGTTTATTGAGTTGACATCGCCTTTCTTATTTGAGTACATTTTACTTGCCCGTATCCCAGCTATGTTGGTGTTAATTTACTTGGTTATCTTCATTTCTATCTATGTTTCCCTTTATTATTCTACTGTTTGTGGATGAGTTTCTCCCTGTTGATGATATACCTTGTTATCGTATTATGATAGTTTATCGTTATATCTTGTTCAGTTTATTTGACCAGTAGGTGCCTTGACTTTTCCTCGTCACTTCTCAACTAAGGTTAGTCTTGATGCTTACTGGGTACCGCTATGGTGTGCTCATACTACACTTCTGTATGTTTTTGTGTATAAATACAGGTATTTGTTCGATAGTAGCTGTGCGGGTCATTGCGGTGGGGAATCAAGGTAAACCTGCTGCTGCAT